GTCAACATGAACGCTCCTCTCGGTGCTACGATCTTGCCATACGAGTATTAACGTTTAGTTGAGCGCTCTAGCTTGTGGATATCACCATATTTCCCGCGTCTATCTCCCTCCTCTTCTCTTTTACTCTCTCTCACTCTCTCTCTCTCTCTCTCTCTCTTTCTCTCTCTCTATCATTATAGAACACAGCGTGTCTTGTTACAAAATTTAAAATCAACTAATGTTTCTCATTATTAACGATATTATCGTTCATTACCAAGTCTGAGAAGATTAAAGGAAAATTTCATAATTAAAGATCCCCTTAAAAACATTATCGATCATTATATTAGAAATGTTTTTCATTTTAAACGATTATATCGCTTTTAAGAAAGGATACAAATATTAAACAAAAATTTAGGAACACGAGAAGCTCTTTTAAACGTTATATATTATTATACCTAGACATTTCTATATTTTTATTTCAAATGATTCTGTTGCTCATTTGTAAGTTTGAGCAAATCAAAATAATACTGAAACTATTAGATCAATTTACGTTATATATTAAAAAAAAAAAATAAATAAACATAATTGATTAAGTACGAAAAAATGGAGAATACTTTATCGTGTATTTATTTCATACACAAAAATGGACTCGAAAAAATCATTGTAGAAAGTAGCAAAACAGAATCGAAGAGGAAGCTCGAGGCAAATCGTATTGTGTTGATAAATCAAACTCAAATGACGATTCTCTTTCTATCTTTCTCTCTCTTTCTTTAGTAAAGCGTACGTGTCGAATCGTGACGAGTTTATTTTGAGCCACCTCTAAACGCGCATATCTTATGTAAAGTAACCGCATATGCGTGGACAACAACTCGTTTGTGCCGCAGGTGCAATCGTTATGGAGATACGATTGGAGCTTCTCGCGAGTTAACAGTGGAAAGAGAAACGGAAAGTACACGACGATAAGAGAGAAGAAGAAATAGAAGAAACAGATGTAGAATGAGAAGTGGAAGAAGCAGATGTAGCAGAAGAATTAGAAAAAGCACGTATAGAAAGAGAATTAGAAGAAAAACAAGAATAGACAAGTTTTATTTCTTCCTCTTTCTTTCTCTTTCTCTCTCTCTCTCTCTCTCTTTCTCTATTTATTTATCTATCTATTTATCTATTTATCTTCTTCTACGTACATCTTTTACATTTACCGATTTCCAATCAGGAAATGTATTGCTTTGAGTAAAATGGATGAGAAAGAGATAAGTAGAGAGTAAAGAAACAAAAACGACAGAGAAGATGACGATGAGAAAGAGATAGAAAAGGAAAAAAATAGACGTAGAAGAAGAATTAAAAAACTTGTTTTTCTTCTCTTTTTCTTTATATTTCTTTCTCTCTCTCTCTCTCTCCTTTTCTTCCTTATTATACATCAATCTATTACACTTACCGATTTGAAATCGGGAAACAAGTTGCTTCAAGTAAAAAGCATGAGAAAGAGACAGGCAGATAGATACTGATAGCGTTAGATAAAAATAGATAGATACTACGATATTATCGCATGCCTCGGTAAACAGTCATAGACGTCATCGTACATCGTGCGTGTGTAACCGTATCCGAATAAATTATCTCTCATTCTCTCCCTCTTAGTTTTTTTTTCCTTTTTTGTTTCTTTTTTTTCTTTTTTTTTTTTTTTCAAAACTCTCGTACTCCTCGAAAACGTTTCCGTACGCCTTCGTATATCGACGGAGAGCAGCAAATTTTTTTCCTCGAATAGCGCAAAAGAGCGCTTACAGTACGGCGTGCTTGGAACGTAAATTCTCGGAAGGGAGATAGACAATTTATCTTTAGTGATTCGCCTACGCCTTCGAATCGGCAATTTCACCGCGAGCAATGTGTGAGAGGAAAACAGAGTAAGAAAGAGAAAGTAAAAGAGACAGAGATAGACATAAGCAGAGAAAGAAAGAGAGAGAGAGAGTTTAATTTGACTTGTCTCTCTTTCTCTCTCTCTCTCTCTCTCTCTCTCTTTTTTGAATGTTTTCTCTATCGACTAGCGATGAATCGACGCGATTATTATTTTCCTATCGAAAGCTCTTCACGAGCCGAGCAGCCTGCTGACGTATTGTTCTACGGCGGATGAAGATAATTCGTGTCTATAAATAGGATCGACCGGCTGGCAGAAGAAGGAGAGTACTAATAAAAGTACGCTTCTAGAGATCTCTCTCGGAGTCACAGCAAAGTCGAGACTCTAGACGATCGACTTGATCTTTAAATGAAAATAAAAAAAAAAAAGCCGGTTAAATGAAGAATTGAATATCAAAGAACGTAGTAGGTGGATATTAATATTGTATTATACGTATGCGTTATAGAGAAATGAATGACAAAAATTGGCATATATATTTTAAAGATGAAATATTTCAGAGGAAAATGAAAAAAAAAAATATTTTTTTTTTGTGGAAAGGAAGTAAATTAAAGTAGCGTATCGAGGTAGCCCTTCGACGTCCCGTTCTCATGGCAGCAGACGCGCTATTTGAAAATTACGGCGCCGCTTGTTGCAACCTATACAAACAAATCGGTCATTACGCGGCCGTTATACGATAATCGTGCTTGACGTCAAATATTAAATGATTTCGCTGCGTGAATCAGGCTGTTTAAATTGTTCCCGGCTTGATTGAATGATGGCCGCTTCTCTAAGTTGGCCGACAACCACTTTAACGTAAATAAGATGGTACCCTATTCCGTACGTAAGAGTTGCCTCGTTATACAGGGTGACCGTCTACGAAGTGAATCGTCGTGATACTTTGCGATTTCTTAATATAACTTCTTCTTGATTATCTCTATTTCTTAATCTTTCTTTCTAATATTCTTACACATATCAATGTTTTAAAAAAAAACAGTTGCTTAGAAAAACTTTTGTAAATTTATTTTTTCTTTATCTTTTTTTCTTTATCTCTCTCTCTCTCTCTCTCTCTCTCTCTCTCTTTGTAATTGAATCATTGTGTCAAATATTTACGACCTTATCGTGCAATAGATAAAAGTTACTTGTATTTGTACGACGATCTTTTCGAACGGAGAACACATATTATATAGAAAGAAGGAAAAATAACAATAAAAATGATAAGTAATTATTTGAAATATTTGAGGTATTTGCTTTCTCTCTCTCTCTCTCTCTCTCTCTCTCTATCTCTCTCTCTCTCTCTCTATTTATTTCCTTATTTTTCTATTTTTCTTTCTCGCAATATAACACTAGTATCTCGCATTGGCACGCTTTCAAATTCCGCGGTCCGTCCGCGGACTTGGCGACTTTGCGCGTAATTGCGCGTAATAATTCGTGCAATAAAATCAACAGTCGACTCTTGTATTTACACTAGTCGTTCGCACTATCCAGAGTTGCCTGTTGTACTTTGCGATTATGCGATAGTGAAATGAGCCTATTAGAGTCTCGTAACAATTCCAGAGAAAATATTCTATTCAATTTTAGTTAAAATGTATATTAATACTATTTTTTGTTTTTACTTTTTAGCATTAAGTAGACACAAATAGTAATCATACATATTTGACTTGACTTTTTTTTTATTGATTATTAAATAATTGAAATAAAATATAAATCTTATAAGCATATAACAAACTGTAATTTTATATATTAGAAATTACTCTGATTATCTTGTCATTTTCATATACTCAATCAAATTATTAATTAATAGTATTAGATATTAGTGTTTTTATTATTTTTATTCTTAAATTTATGTTTACATAAGGTTATCAACTTACCGATATTATTTTAATGATACAATGAAAGTATGCAACACATGATCCCTAAAAATTGGCAACCGTACATACACCAATGTTAGTAACGCCCGTAGAATATCATTTTCATGTTCATTCTCAGTACTTAATTATATTTGAAAATTGACTCGATTTGCATCGATTGATATTGAGGAGAAAATATTCGAATTGCCATTTAAAGCTATATTTATTAGCGTGCATTTGATCGTACCAACTCTTGACTCTGTCCACTTTTCTTTCTGAACATGCAATTGTACGAGACTCGGAAGCAGTCGTGCGTGCAAGATAAAAGTTAAAGAGAAAAAGTAGGAACCCAATACGCACAATCGTTGTGTTGCTCTTCATCTTTATAGTTCGTGTCGATGCTCTCATATTAAATTAATTTCTTCAATAATAATAATAACAATAATAATAATTAAACGATTTGTTATCTCTTTCGATCCGTCACGTATGTTATTCTCATAAAGAAATTATGATGATGCATCATGCTTATGCATTTTCTCTTTTCAGACAAACTAAATAGACAATATTTATTAAATTTATATGTATGTATACATATGTAATATTTTATTACTTATATATATATATATAACAGCATTTGTAAAAACGAAACGAAATTATTCATTTTTGTTTTGCAATGTTCATATAATTAATACTTCTTTATATTACAATACATCGAACAATAAGTACTAGTTGCTTGACGAACGAGAAACATAATAAAAAAATATTAATTATCGATAATACTTGTCTTTTAATGGCGTTAATGGCAGTGTTGTGATAGTCTTTGGAAAAGTTTTTGTTACTCTTGCCACGATTTATGAAAAATTCTCTTTGACTACATTTATTTATTTATCTAATTATATTATATATTGTATAATACCTTGTCCAAAATTGCAATGCACGTAACAATGAAATTGACTAGACTTAAAAAGGATAAAAAGCACGAGCCTTCGTGATTAATCGTAAATATATAAACGTATATATATATATGTATGCTAAACCCGCTAGCTATATGTAAAACATAAATAATACTATTATTTCTATTTCTATTTAAAAATAATATTTAAAAATCTTTTTTAAGTGTATCTCTCGCTTCATCTCTTTGTACGTACACAGCTAATACTTTGGTAAATTCTAAGTTTAAAACGAAATCTAAAGAAAAATTTGAAACTGACGTTTACTATACAGCAAATAAATAAAAGTGATAAACAGTGGAAGCTTTACAGAAATCATTAATCTTCCATTTCTCTATATATAAACGTAAGAAACTTAAATTTACGATAAAATGTCGTAGAAAATAAAAATCTTACAATTAAATTTAAAAATATCTAGTTCAATCGATCCTATTAACAGGGTGACAAATCAACGGAGAATTAACGTCCCACCCATCGATCTCTTCGGTCGACTGAGTAGCTCTTTTCTGTGCGTTTAAAATAGTTGAACTATGCCTAGGGCTACTGGGTGCTGATCTGCAAGTAACTTGAAGTATCGCTGATGTACCGAATCGAAGATTTTTTGTCCCAGTTCTCAAAAGATAAGAATCGTTATCAAAAAGGAAACTGTTTTCTATATGATGATCATTTTGATTTTTTTTCCTTAGGTCAAGTGAATGTTGCAAAAGATCCGTTTGACTTTCGCAAAGTTTTTCTACGCATGGACAAGAATTGCTACTAGATCTCCAATTTTCTATACAAGCGGCCTTCATTAGAGACGAGGACGATGATTTTGGTTTGCACGGACTACTGTCGACGATTGATTCCAATTGGTTGCTTGTTTGTGTACCCTTTTGATCCAATTGATCGGAACTGGCGAAACGTAAACGTTTCGGAGACTCGCTTGAACATCTCATGAACGTCGATCTAACGAGAGATTTGTTTTTTAAGGAACTTCTTGGTACAAGAGGATCAACTATACTAACACGCTTATTCGTTGCATTTCTACGATTCATTCTTTCTTTCATACGTTCTTCTCGATAGACTGGATCTTCACCCATTAACCAGTAGGTCAGACGATCCCCTTTACCTTTCATGGAAATTATACCACGTTCAACCAAACTGAAGCCACCTAGCTTATCCAACAACTTTTTTGTCTCGCTACTACAATGAATTTTTAAAGCTGAAAAAATCAAAAATACAATTTTATAACATATTATCATTTTTATATTTTATCGATAAAAATATTCTTATTACGAGATCCTGTTGATTCCATACGACTGGCTGTATTCACGGTGTCACCAAAAAGACAATATCGTGGCATTTTTAAACCAACTACTCCAGCACAAACAGGACCTAAAAAATACAAATTTATCCCTATAAATTATTAGAAATAAGAGATGTATCTGTATTACTATTGATTCTTTTACACATATCAAAAATAAGATTGTGATCGTTTTAATTAATCCTTCACAATATTATGCATAATTGATTTATTTTTATTAACTTTTAAAAATTGTAACTAAACTTTCCAACGTTTATCTCATATTACAAGTATTTATCATTCATTTATGTATCATTAACATTATGAGAGATACAACTATTGAAATGTTAATTAATAATTTCCGCTTGAAATTATTTACCTGAGTGAATTCCTATTCGTAGTTGCAATTTATCCAAAGGCCTATGACGAATGGAGAATTGTTTGATGGCATCTAAAAGGCACAAAGACATACTGGCGATTTCTGCAGAATGTTGAATGCCATTTCTTATCGGCAATCCACTTACCTAGAAAAAAGAATAAATTATTTAGAATTATTTGTTTATATTATCCTAATATTAATTTTATTTCCACTTACCACCATGTAAGCATCACCGATAGTTTCGACTTTATAAACATCGTAATTTTCGATTGTTGAGTCGAAACACGTATACAAGTCGTTTAAAAAATTCACCACCTAAATGTATTTCTATTAATACTATTAAGGTAATTTATAATATTATTATTGATGAAAAGACTAGAAAATTTCACCTGTAAAGGGGTACTTTCGGCAGACATTTTTGTAAATCCGACAATATCACTGAAATAGATCGTAACACAATCAAAACTTTCAGCTTCCACTTTGTTTCCTCGTTTTAATTGTTCGGCCACGTATTTTGGAAGCATTTCATACAACAACGCATCTGAAATTTTCATTTATAATAAAATATAATCTTGTTAACGAATGAATAAATTATTATTTTCTTTTTACATCTTAGTAATTAATTATAAAAACCTGTTTTCTTTTTTTCTTCCGTCAGCTGATCAGTTCGTTCGTCAACGAGAGCTTCGAGATTATTAGCATATTTTTCCATCATAGCCATCATATTGTCAAATATATTTGCTTTCCTATTAGATTAAAAGTAGGTATTTTAATTTGTATTAATATTAAATAAGAACAATTTTGAATAGTTAACTTACATGCCCTTTCGTAATGGTCTTAATTTGTTTCTTATGATCTTAAAATCTGGTCGACTTTCTGGATCTTCAGCCCAGCACTCCAATAAACAGTCACGAACAAAATCAAAAGTGTTCTCTAGTTGTTCCAACGGTGGTCTGAGATTGAAAAAGACAAGCTAACAGGTAAAAACAGAATTGCTTAGGCATTTCAACTATCACAATAAATGAAGAATCGATTCGTAACGATTTTAAAGTTCTACCTGTACGGAGATTTAAGGGGATCTCTCGTAATTATTTTCTTCAAAATTTCGGGAGCAGACAATAGAGTTATACCGAAAGGACCGTGTCGACCTTGAAGCTCGTAAAGAACTATAGCAAAGGAATATACGTCTCCTCTTTGAAAATCTCTCGCTGATGGTTCATCAAGTCCGGTAGAACGTAACAATTCTGGTGCTCGATACAACAATCCTGTTACAAAACACTGTTAACATTTATGTTCATCTTTCAAAAAGTAGATATATTATATATATGTATATAATAACTACAAAAAAATAGAAGGAAAACTCGCCGACAAGTTAAACAAAATTGCATTTGCATGAAATTAGAAATCAGTCTCAGAAAGTACCGTGATATTTTTTCATAACGTCACTTGGCTCACATTCGGCGTCTCGTTTAAATTCGTGAAGCCCAAAATCCGCCAGTTTTACGACCCAACGAGAGTCAACGAGGCAGTTTGATGTACTGAGCGATCCGTGATATTTTATTACAGACTCGTGAAGATAAATCATACCCTGAAAAGGAATGAAATATATTAAATGACAAGCAGAAACTATTTATAAATACTATTTGTTTTTTCTTTACATTGTAAATAAAAATCAATAAAAACAATATACCCTTATAATGTCACCAACAAGCGATGCCATGAACATGTTATCGAGTTTGATATCCTCGTTTTCTAAAATATCCTGAAAAAAATCATTAATTATATAAAGATTTTTAAATATTGAATTCCCGAAAAAATTCGCGCAGGCAAAAAGTTCTTCCCGAATTTGAAAAAAATGTATTTTAAATTAATTGTACATTAATCTGCATAAACTTTCCAGGCAACCCTCAATACATAATTTGAAAATAATTACTAATAATAAGAATAATTTTATAATATTACCTTCAAACTTCCCCGTGCACAATAGTCAACGACGATGCATATGTTTGGAGGATCAGTGCAAGCACCAATAAAAGCATTTAAATTGTCGTGTCTCAAATCTCGCATCTATGAAATACAAATTGATTTGGTACATGTTTTGCATAAAAGTAAAATATTTTAAGAAAATAAAACAGAATTGAACAAAAATTCTTATTGATAAATTACAATTTTCAATTCCTTCTTCATCTCTCGCGTAATCTCGATAGATTTCTTTCTTATTTTTTTAATGGCAAAAATTCGTCCTTTGTAAACCCCAATTTGCGTATAAATCATGGAATAGCGAAAATCAGCGTCCGGATTCGAACTTAAGGATACTTGACTCGTTCTTACTATTGGTTGTGTTGTAGATGTCTAGAAAAGTAAGAAAAATATGAAACATACATTGTTTGACTTTGAAATCGTGAAATCTTATCAACGTGCAAATCTGATAAAGAAAACTTGAAGAAAATATTTTTTAAATTTTCTATATTTCATTTTCATTTCTTTTTCTGTTTGAATGAAGAAAAAAAAATTGTCCCATTCAAATACCGTCGAGCTTACCTTAGAATTGCATTTCACTGAAATCTCATTTGATGTTGCATTTTCATCCTTCGCCTCTTTAATCTGAATTTCCTTATAGTTTACCTTCCAGAGCAACGAATCCAATTCTTGTTCGTATTTCCAGTTTCTATATAGAACCAGAAGCACTGCTATGATGATTAATAGTAATCCACCCCCTATACCACCGACTATCTCGATCATGTAAGCTGTAACATTTCAGAAGAAATTAATTGAAGCGATTTAACTAGGTTACTGATTCCCATAGTATTGTATTAGTAAATCTCTCTCTCCGTCTCTCTCTTTCTCATTGCAACAATTTTATAATTTTCAATAATTAAAAATTTAAATCATGTTCTTATTATATTTGTTTTTTCTTTGACAATTTGTTTAAAACGATTGACCTATATGCACAAAATAAACAAATTTAAAGAAAATTCTATTCTCTTTTGTTTTTTCTCTTTTTCTAAAATCTCAATAACCTTTGCAAGAATCTCCTGCTCTTTTAATGTATTAAAATCAGTATAAGATTATCTACCATTTACAGATGAAAAATAAATATTTTTGTTATTCTTCTGACCTTTTATAATTTCAAAGACCTTCCCTAAAGCTATTTATTATATTAAAAGATTTTCTATACATTTTAATTTTAATTTTTAACTTACAATAATTCTGAATTAATAAACTTAATCCCGATTTCATTTCATTTCTTTTTAATTTGTATAAAATTGTTTATCTATGTTTATAATTATTTTATTAATTGAAAAATGAATAATATTTTTTCTATTTTTTATTTTATATATATATATGTTTTTATACTTGCAAGTAATAAATATATATGTATCTAGAACGATATTATTCGTTGTACAACCCTAACGTAATGTACACATTTTTTTACGATACGACATTGATCTTATCTCTCTTTTCTGTCTTCGATCGAGTATCGTTCGTCTTGGCACGATTTACATATGTAGATTTTAGGACCAGGCGTTAAACTTTACGACGCGTTCATAAACGATCGATTGGTTGGCCAAGTCGTTTGCCGGCCATGAGTAATATGCGAGAATGATTTTAAAAGTTTGATCGAAAGCCAAAGAAAAGTTATTCGAAAGTGAATGTTTCATCCTCTTTTTGCATTTTCACGATGCTGACATACCTGAATTATATTGAGAAAATTTGATCCTGAACGTAATTCGTTTTTTTGTTGATACGAAATTCATATTCGAATAATATCATTCCTATTGAATAAAAAGTCTCCTTCAAAAAATCAAAATAAATCAACAAAAATAGGAAATACTAGAAAAATATTTAATGTACTATATAATGTAATGTGATTTATGTAAAATCGATCTTTGTAATTATTTAGGAATGTTCGAAATTTCAAAACAAAAAAGAAATCAACAAAAATATCAGAATAATTTAGAATATAAATATAATATATTTAATTTTTAAAGTACCATACGAGTAATTTAATTAAAAATGTTATTCCTTTCTTGAAAATATTATCTACCAATTATATTTCGAACATTTGTTTTGCTTTTCATATGCATATTTTCAAACTATTTATTTTTAAAAAATATCTCGCAATTATTAACGTGAAAAAGAGAAAATGAGGATTACAATGTCCAATTTAATTTAACAATATGAAAAAATATATGGCAATTAACGGGTTCGTTCATTTTACTAATTAATATAATTAGCTTAATTTGTTTAATTCCAGTTTTTTCTGATTAAAATGTTTTTTTAATTATTTTTAACTAACCTTGATAACAAATTATTAGCTATTTTGCCAAGTCTACTTGTTAGAATTTGACATTAGGCCTTTAAAAAAAATCTGAATTCATTAATAGTACTATATATAGAGAAAGTTTGAGAATTACTGCGTAACAGTATATGTATATATAATATAAGATATGAATTATGTATAATATAAAAAATATATATGTATATATCACCTACGCACACTTGCATTTTTCACCATGGTATCCACAATAAGGTTCCGAAATAGGTGGACCATCACCGACCCAAGAAATTTCTCGTATTAATCGTAGTTTCTAAAGAAAAAGTTTCATACAATATCAATTTTGTAAGAATAATGTTATTTTTATTCACATACTTACAGGTAAATTTGTCCCTTTTTCTTTACCAACAAAATATGCGATAGGATAAAGACCATAGCCCTTGCTAGTGTGATTATCAAAAGCAATCAATGTGTAATTACCTTCTGCATCTCCATTTTCATCCATGTACACCATATAACTGTACAATAATTAAAAGTAGATTATTTTTAAAAACATATTCTCATTTTCATGAAGAAAATTGAGTCATCGGATTATATTAATTGGAACTCGAATGGGAGTTTTTCATTTTCTGATCAACTGTTCTAAACTTCTAATTGGGTCACTTATATACCAAATTGATAGATTCCACAAAACAAATGTTAGAGAAAATTGATAAAATAATATACAGTCTTGTATAATTTATTATTGAACGAGGATTTAAAAATTGTTTTCATTTAGTGATGTTATAAGTTTAATTATTAAAAACATTAATTTAAATTATAAAATGTTAAGTATTGATCTAGTACCTTGATAATCACATTTTTTTAAATTCATGAAGAAAAATATACGCACTTACCCCATAGCACTGCGATAACGATATCCATGTAAAGCAGTTACCATTTCTGTTCCATTTCTTGGATCACGATTTTCCTTCAATGCTTTCAACAGTGTCATTTCGTAAAGAAGAACAGCATCATAAAGGTAAGCCGGTTCTGGCCCAATCTGCCTTATAACGGAGAATGATAATTACGTTTTTGATTGGTTAGATAAAAATGATATAATATTTAATTTATTTTACCTACTCTCTATTCTTGTTATTCATATATTATATATTCATATATGTACACATATATTCTATTTTTTGTATTCTATTTAAACATGTATTAGGGGTACCGAAAAGTTTTTTCGTATTTGAAAGATAGGAAAAGGTTATTGAAAATGTTGTTAAGTTGAAAATTGACAGCAATTATATTATTGATTTAATTATGCTTGTTTTGTTAATTATTTATTACTTCGTATGTTTTCTAATAAGAGCGAAAAGACTTATTCGGTATTCTTAATACAAATGAAAATAAAATCAAAGTTGTCTCTAATAGTCACCAGAACTCCTGCCTCAATGTTCAACGTCAACAATGGATTGGTAAAGTTAAAGGGTGGTTTCTGCATATAATCATTGACCAATTTCGTGAAATTTTGGTAGTCGATCGGCGCCGATGCAACGATGCTGAAGTAATTGCGATAAGCTTTAAGAATGGAATAATCCTTTATTCTATCCTGATATAATCCACGAAGATATTTGTCTGGCTTTTGTTCATCGTATTGATCGAAGTTAATACCAACTACCCAGTATTCTCCTATAACGTGAAATTATTAAGGAATGATTCGTACCATTTGGCTGGTAATTTACGTTAAACTTAATCGGGCGTATAATTGATCAATGAATTATTGTTATAACTATTATTAATATAGTAATACATCGCGACTATTGAATGACGTGACCTATAATAATTATAGTCCAAACTACTCTTTGATATACATATGTACCTGAATATCTTACAGCGGATTTATACCTTTTTCCAAGAGATTCCTTTTGTCGAGTGCCATCAAGAGACCCATATGCTCGTCGTGATTTCCTAGAATCACGTAAACTGTAAACAAAGAAAAATACAAAAATTAATATCTATAATTTTAACGATAATTCTCATATAAACAAGTATTCAAAAAATTACCAAATTCAAATTGATCTCCGTAATGTTAGTTTGTTCAAAGTTTATTAGTTAAGTTTTCCGTCATTAGAATAAAAACTTTAGGAGACACGTGGCTAGTTTATATTTAGAATGACGATAAAATCAAATTATAAATAGACGTGTGACTAACGATTCTCGAGAGTTATATCTATTCTTATCACGAAAACCCGGTTGAACGAGATATCGTAGTACATAGGATAGAGATGCGGGTTATTCCCCCTTTTCTTTATGCGAGTAAAGAGAGACCTTCCTTTATTGTTCGAATAAATCAAATTATTTGGATGCGGGTTCTTTCTAACTTTTGCTATTGTTCAATCGATAGAAAAAAATAAAATGCGTGTTGTTCTTTCTTATCGACGACAATGACAATGTCCGATGAAAATAATTGGATTTTCGATGAAGACATCGTCTTGCTTACGACCAACGAAATAATTAAGTCGTAAGGAGAAAGTATTGTACGAGTTATGTGGGACGTCATCGATCCTTTCGATTCGAACAACGTCGAATGTGTTACAAAACGTTTTTTCGTTAAAAAAAAAAATGCTTACTCATCATGACGAAACAAAAAAAAAGGGCCTGAGTTCCTCTTGATTTAAGTTAATCGCGAATATATATATATATTTGTTAAACAAGCCACGAGTAGTTTCTTTTTCCTTCATTGAATTTAATTAACATATATAGAAATCGATCATATAATTCAATTCGAGACGGATGAAATTCGATATTTTGGTTCCTTTTTTTTTTTTTAATTTAAATAAATATAAGGTATAAAAGTGTAACATTGCTAATTGTAAATTCATTACTAAAACTTTATATTGATTAAACGTTTTGTAATAATTTGTATACTTATTCACAAATCTGTTTTTCAATGCATAAGTTACGTGCATTTCTTCTTCGTTCTCATGATTAATACTTATGCAATTTCTGTATATTTTTTTTATTAAAATAAGTTATTATTAAAGTTAAAATAAATAAGAATAATAGACAAAAAGTGAAAGGGAGAATAATAATTAAAAATCTTCACATTATAAGATTTACGTTTGCATATAAATATTAAAAATAATTGTATTTCACTCACTTCGAGTCTCCCGATAAGTTTCTTCGACAATTTTATGAAATGGATTCATCACATTTTCCATTAAATAATAAGGATCTTTCCAACAACGACGAAAATTAACTGTAATTCCATTATTTTCCAAAAACGATAGGATCGTTGTACCGACGATTGACATTTCACTGAAATCTACCAAGGATGAATTTAAATACATGAACGTCACCTGCAACAATACCATCAGAAAAAATTTATAAAAAGAAATAAACATTTTGGTTTATAGCAATAACGTCAATAACTAACCTTAGTCCAATTGAAAGCTTTCAAAACGGAAACAACAGATTTAGAGATTTGTGTGTCAGGTGGTCGTGTCCTTGCAAAGGTTGCAAATTTATTTTTATCGGAAGTTTCGTGATTTGAACAATACTGAAAAATTAATTTAAAAAATTATTTATTTTACTACAGACGAGAAAATGTTTAAAAAATAATAATTGAAAATAAGAATATGTAGAAAAAAAAATGTTAATTTTGTATTAATGCAACTAATATTAGTTTTAAATGATTTGTATTAGAATTCCAAGTTGAGTCTATTACTAAATAACAAAAAAAAAAGGGGATTTTTATGTTCAATGATTAGTTATGGTTGTTTTACGAGATACAAAGATATTCTACAACAGTAAATTATAGAATTTATTGTTAAAGATAGAGATCAAAAGAGCTCGTTAAAAAAAAATATATCGTTATATTCATCATGTATTAAATATAGAAAAGATTCGTTCTCTAGCGAACGAACGAGCATGAGGAATTCTTGACGATTAATTAAGTTCCCGTTAGATTTTCACGAAGTCATTGAATAAACCCAGATAACTCGTAAAATATTAATGAATATTAGAATCATTTTTTATTCCAAGTAATAAAATCAAACCTCGTAAACATATTTTCGATGTTTCATATGTAAAATATTTTTTACTTCTTGAAAAGACAATTAAATAAATTACTATCTATAGTTATTAAATAGTCTTACAACATAAAGAGTCTTTTCTTACATTCTTTATGTATATATAGAATATTAATATTTGTTTGATTAAAAATAAAAAGTTAATGTATTCATTCGTTTTATGTATTAGAAAGGAAAAATCAGACGATGTTTTTTTTTTCAGATTAAAATTCGATTCCTATTGGAAAAAATGCATCCTTTTTATCGGAAAGAAATAAAACTTGACTCAATAAGGATTCAAATATTTTTTATAATAGGTAAAATCAATCGACCAAAAGGACGAAGAAAAGTTTATCGTATAAAACGTGTCGTAACGTTGACTCTTTGCATTCGTATTCTTCCGAAGAACGAGAATAATTTATTTCTCCTGGATGACTCTCTTCTCTCTTTCTCTTTCTCTCTGTCCTTCTCCTTTAAACGGTAGCTTTAAACCGCACATTGCAACATCGGATCACGTCGAGCGAAAAACGATCGAACGAGCAAAACGCAAAGGAGCGTCCGTACGGTCGTTTGTAATTCTTTCCGTTTTTTCTATCTCTCCTTCTTTTTTACTCTCTCTCTCTCTCTTTCTCTTTCTTTCTCTCCCTCGATTTAAGTGGAACAACCTTAACGGATGCTGTCGTAAGAGCGATCAATTGTTTCGAAGAAAACCTTCGATTTTTGTTTTATCGTCGAAAGAAAATTGCAATGAAATTGACGTAATAATTACTTGCATATAAAATTACTCTAATTGTACGAATTTTTTTTTTTTTTACGATGATACTGACAACGATATTAAAAATATTTCTAAATTTGTTCTCTTTAATTTATCAATCCTCGAGATAATTTTTTATTAAGCGATACCATGTTATTCTTTGATAAATTGATTAAAAATATTAAATATGTATTTTTAGATTCGTTCTCTTTCTTTCAAATAAAAATAGAAAGAAATTAACGGTCATATATATGTTTGGATTAAAAAACAAAAATTAATTAATAAGTAAAATTAAAATTTTAATATACAGCTAATGATAGAATTTCTTCATGTTATTTCTTTTATTTATCAGATAGGTGACACGTTTGTTAAAGGAAAAGTTAAAGATCACAAGAATAAAATCTCAAGGATGAAAGATACTCATTCTTACGTATGATATCATTGGGAGATTGAATGCTGCAGCCATTTTTGCTTCGTGAATGCAGGACTCTTGTGGACCGATGTAAGCAGAAACATTCTTCTTCCAGAGATCAGCTGTCATCAGTATGCTGGTTATCTCTTTGCCGTTCGTCTCGCCGACCAAAAAATCAAGTTTGTGACCTTGTCTACCGAGTTCTCCTGCATTTACCTATTATAATCAAACATTTCAATTTGCTGTTAACATAAGACGATATCTATGCAATTTGAATTTATTCTTTTATAAAATAAATTTTTAATTCATATTTTAAATATTCATTTTTCTTATATAAAATTTTATTATTTATTAATTTATCTATGTATATTATTTATTTAAAGTGTATCATATATAAAGTCTTATATTTAATCATAAATTTGTATTCACTTTATTGCATAACTATTCGTTATTCAATAAAACTTACTTCATTTCAGTTAAAAATTTTTTTTTATATTGACGTACCAGATTTCAAGGTGACTTTTTTTGTTTTTAATGAAACTATATGTTCAAATAAACATGCAATATGACAAATTCATCGACACGAATCAGATGATCTTTCAAAGTAAAGTAATAAAAAAAAATTCTATTTGAAAAACTTTGTTGACTAACAAATAATTCGGGATAAATAATAATTGCGAGTAAAAGTTTATATGAAACATTCTATATGCACGCGCATATAGATGCAGAGAGAGAGTCATTATTTTTCAATAAAAAAGTCAAATCCTTACAAAGAATAGATTTGTTATATTTATTAATTAGATTTTTATTTATTCGTATATTATTCGAATAAAATAGAACAAAAACGTACTTTACAATAAAGTTTGTGAAGTAATGCAAAATTTGATACTTCGAAATTAATTTTTATGATTACTTTCCTGTTTTGTTCTTTTTTTTTTTTTTTTTAATGAAATAAATGAACATCCGTAGAATATGTTTTAATGAAATTACCTTTTCTACAGCGAGAGTGATTGCACCGGATATCCAATAGCCCAAACGATTGTATTCCTTATCCCCTGGACATCGTTTCGAACCGGTGATGTATCCAAGGGTAAACGTGTCTGCATCGACACCTTTGCCAAGCAAAACGTGGATTGCTGTCAATAAGAGACACGCCCTCTCCACGTTTCCCAGTAGCATGCCCAGTCACGGAACCTACACACTCCGAACAATATTATTGTTTTATCATTTTAATTTTAAATAGAATACAAATTTACATAATCATCAAGAAGTGATTTATTTTTTAAGTATATACGACACTTGTCAATTAAATCTCTTATTATTTTGTACTGTTATTATTATTATTATTATTATTAACTAAATAAACTATATATATTTATTAATTATATATATTATATTATTTAGGTTTCGTTAATTAAATGATATATTATTATATTTTGCACTTAATTGAAAGTAAATTATTCGTCTAGTTTAAAGTCGTGCACGTGTATTAATAGAAACCATTTTAACTACTAAAGATCTGTTAGAACAGATATTCTATTATTTGTTTTTCCTTCTCGCGTCTTCTCACCAAGTTATCTAGTAGATATTGACTTCCGTCTGGATTAACGTTTTGTTGGTTTACCGAGTTTCCACGGGAAATGAATTGTCGCAGAAGCAGATGCCTTTATTGAAGGAAATCTTGATTTAATCATAGTTCTTAGTTAAATACGTTTGTCTCATGTGTAAATTAACATATAACTTGGCAATGTTAGATGTTAGAAAATGTTTTATTTTTTGTTAATATTTTTAACGATCGTAACGATATGATAATATACTGAGAGAGAGAAAGTTACATTTTATTTAAATATAAAAAACAAAATCAAAGTTCGAGATATTTAGATTACGAAATCGGTTGTATAATATAATAAATATGAAAAAATATTCAAAACAAGAAGAGAAAATATAGGAGATTTTGTTTATTGATGAAATGTATATTCGTATCATTATTTTAGCAATGACAGCCGATTGATTAGAGTGATCACGATGATTTGCAAAGGAATCATGTTGAGTATTATTATGTATTTGCGAAAGTGATGACTGCTTATTACGTTGGTAATGGATAAAAGCGATAAACCACAGGTGGTCGAAATAAACGCCATTGATCTCCTGTAGGGTATCGGCTACTTTCCTTTTTTCTCAGCTTCTTTACTGGTAGCAGTCAGTGGGATGAAACAACTCAAGTATATTATCGTTTTACCAGAAACAAACGAAATCTATTATTTTAACCCTTTAATGTAAGATTTTATTCTCGAAGCTTTTAAGAATAAAACATTATGCTACCTATTACGTATTTCTTCTGTAGATAAAATAACGCGATAAAAATATTATAAATTTTGTATAAAATTTTGTATAAACCAATTCGATTCGATGTTCATTGTATGATGTAATTTTGCAATTATATAAATTTAAAGGGATAGTATCAGTAATTCTACCTGTTTTCATCGATCATTATAATTTCTTGTTACTACTTTTTTTTTACTAATAACTTTTCTTTACTTTGTTCATTTGGTTTTAATTAATTTCCTTGTCCATCCATTTTTTAGATGTTTTTAAAAAATATAAATTATAAAAGAGATTGATATAAACTTATTTTATATTATTTTCTTATGGTGGGAAATTTTGGAAAGATGATTTCTTTGACGATAAATTTCTACAAGTCTAGTGGGTTTATATTCCGAACGAAAGCTTACGGCATACAGCACTCACCGAACTATTATTAATAGCGGTCTATTTTAACAATACGTTAAAAAGCTCATGTTGCTGGACGGGCTTTTAAAATATATATTTGAAATTTAATTTAAAAGAGATATTACGTAACAGAGTGAAGGCCATCCTGTTCTTGATTTGACAATTTTTCATGAAAAATTTTCTTTTTCTTTTATCGAGACAATATCATTTGTAATAAATATTTTATATTGATATTATATCGACTTTTCTTGTTGTTAAACGTATATAATAATTTATTATAATTAATGAATAAATATGAAAACAATATTATTTTCTACGATAATAAATATAAAGATAATAATTTAATTGGATAATATATATATAATTACAAATTGTTAAATAAATAATTGTTTTCATAAGTTTCGTAATTCAATCATTTAAAAGACAATGATAAAGTTCATTAAAAATACATCAATTACATGAATAGGATATTCATTCGACTCGGCGGTTAATTATACAGACATATACAGTCAGTTATTTTTCAAAGAAAGCCGATGTGAAAGAGTAAACGCGATTGTTTCTTCGGATCGTGGGAACGGCCACAGAGAGTGCGTGCGTGGGTGTTTTCTTGCTTACCCCGATAGCAACCGTCTTTCGATGGGAATCTCTCATTATGTTTTCTTTCTTTTTTTTTACTTTGTGAAAAGATCGATAATCTACGAAGACAATTACTACAAATAGAGCAATACAACAAGCATCCCGACTAGCATTTCGAGAATAGATTTTTAAAAACAAATGACAATTATTATAATCGTAATATAAATCATCATTTAAATAATTAATTATAATTGTACTCTGAATGATAGTATTATTGAAAAAAAATAAAAGCAAAAAATAACATTAAAAAACAAGAATCACTTTATTTTTCTTCGAAATTTTTCGCAAGCATAAAAAAAAAAGAAAAGGAAAAAAAAAGTCCATTATGTTCTGATTCTTTCTTAACACATTTGTTTTCACGGTCGTTTTACAGGTGTATCTTAAAATCGATGGCGCTTAAAATCGAAACAGACATTTTAGGATCGAGTAATCGAGAAATTTCCGGTCATATTACTCACAGGATTTGAACGAGGTAACGGATTCTTGCCGAAAGGCGAAGTGAACGTTTAATCGATGTAAAGATCTCTCTTTATTTTTCTTTCCCTATATTTTTCTTTTTCTTCGTTGTACGTTTGACAGTCAATCCTCGTGCTGTCAAAACGAGCTATATCGTAATGCGATCAACGAACTAAGAACGAACGCGATTGCTGAATTAATGCGGATAACGGAGTTTATTCGTTCTCTTCGAGGATTATTGATATAACGTAAGCAGAATGGTCGACTTCGCACGTGTTACTTGTCTTCTCATTTTCGTTCTTTTGATTCAATTTTTCTCTTGTACTTAGCACTTTTAAATTTGATTTAAGTAGATAAAAATCAATACGGATTAAATGAAACATATTTTCAATTTGCCATTATGTAAAATCATTGACGATTGTAACATAAAATACATGTAAATCGGTAATTATGATAGTGAAGTAATCTTAAGTAAAAAATCTACTATCATAATTATTTGTCATACTTAATATCAGATAAAAATTATTACATGTATTAATTTGATAAGAAAGTATAAACAAACAAATCTTTTTACAGATATAAAAAAAAAAAAAAAAAAACTTAAAAAGGTGTTAAAGATATAATACAAGCAAGTACATGTTTTTAATAAAAGTTCCTTGGTCTGAGTGGAATATTTATCGAAGCTCTAGACTTCGTTGTTTGGGTATAAAATTAATGGGGTAGATATTGATTTTTATTTTTTATTTTTTAAATATAAATCAATATTTTAAGTGAAACGAAAGTTACTGAGAATATCAATACGAATCTAACGAGTAAATACAGTGTACCTATTCATCGATATTTCATCGAGTTATGACGCCTTGAAGTTTAACGAACTGTGTAATCGCAATAATCCTATGCTATCAAACGATCAATTCTTGTATATTAGTTTATTTTTCAATTTTAAAATATCTTAACTATTGTTCAAAGGTTTTTAATGAAATAAGATATATCCCAGTCGTTTTTGAATGCAAAAAATACGTTGAAGGAATGTCAAATCGGCACAGTTTTTTTACAAAAATTATTTTAGATGATTTTTTTTTAGCTAACGATTTTAGGATGGAAATAAATGAAGTTCTAATGTTCTCGAAATATATCTTACAGTGAGATAACATGCAAGAAAAAAGAAATGGTAGAAAAAGGGTATAAATGTAAGAAACAGTAAAGTATAGAAAAAGTAAGTAGTAAGTAATGCTCTTTGGAGGGATGCAGTTATGTAAGCATCATTATAGAATAGATTTGAAGTAATACTTTAGACTATTGTTTAATAAGTTTAGTTATGTTGTTGTAATATACTTATTAGAAACCCTATCCTTATAATTATTAAAAGTAAGAGATTAATCAGTTAAGGGGCAAATTTCTTATTATAAGAAATAATAATTAAAATAATAATTTTCGTATTAACAAAATCCACAGCACATAAAAGTGATCTACGAATTTATAAAATTTTAGAATGTTGAGAAAAATCAATATCGCAAAGAAATATGATATTTCGTTTTGAAGGACACGCAGAAACCAAGCTTTAATCAGAGACTAATTTGTTTTATGATAAATATTTCAACATTTAGGAAATAATTAGAATATACAAATACCTAAATAACTAGATAAGATTTTCGCCTGTTTAATTTTTATAATAAATATATTTTTCATAAAATATGATTATCAACACATACCAAATACGTCGCTGAAATATCGAATATTTGGGCTTATTTATTGCACATTAGTTCTTTTTTCATACACGAAACTTCCATGTGAATCTTGACATTCTCCAATTTCGATCTTTCACGGTAACATATATATATATCTACACAATTACCAGCTGACGTAATTTCGAATGTGATCCAGAAGAAATATATATTACTTTAAATTCCGTTCATGATTATGAAGCCGTCATTTTCGCAACGAAATATTTATTTCTTCGATCGTATCTTCTTTTTGATCATCTCATCCGAAAGATTGAACGGACAAGAAAGAGAGAGGAGAAAATTAACGGATTGAGCTCATTTGATTTTTTCTCTTTCTCTTCAACTCACACATGTATATATATATATATATGTGTGTACCTACCATGTAAATAGAGACTAAAAAATACGCCCGGGGGCATTTTCTCGATTTTTACACCGATTTACATTCCATTGCGAAAGAAGCAAAGAGATAACTATAATCTCACGAACGAACTAATGAATGCCTTGACAATGTCACAAGCTTATCTTTCTCTTAAAATCAATGTTGATCGATCCCTATCATTTTCTTTTTCTCTACGATTTTGCAAATTTAATAAAAAAAAAACAAAACGAATTATAATGTGATACCAGAAATATTAAATTATATAA